TGTGTTTATTTTGTTATATGTTATAGGTGCTGACCAGAAGAAAAAAAAAAAGGCGCCATCTGTGTTTATTTTGTTATATGTTACATATTACATGTAATGTTTGTTAAGGCTTTGCAACCAAGTGATGCACCAGTCACGAAGAGCAACTTTTGGTGGACAAACATTTATGGAAACACACAAATCGTGAGGTTGATTTGCCGCTTAAGTTGGTTTATTTGTTACATGTTTTTAGTTGGTTTAGTGAATATAAAAAACAAAAGAAGGAAATGCTATGTTCGATAGATTATTAAGTCAATGGTAATCCCTTGCTTTTGAACGCAACTTTAGGATATTATGGTGAAATAAATATTTTCTTTAGAAGTTTTATGTGATTGTTAGATATTGTATCATGGTGGGACTCCTACTTTTACGATGGATTCATATGAAGTAGTTTCAATGCTCTAATGTTATAGAATAAATTTTGACAAATGTCAACAAACAAATTAAATGGATTGTGAACTATGTAGGAAAAAATGTTAAGTTTACAACTATGAAATTAAAAAATTAGCTCCAATACACAATGTAGTCTAAGCACAATATTGTCTAAACTCGAGCCGGCTGTGCGTGCACAGCCAAGAGCCCACTAGTCGTGTTTATACTTCATATCGTCAGTTCGTGTTTTAATATAGTGTTCTGTGTTATATATTTTATTTTATTTTTTGATTAAATGTTATATATTTTATTTGAACGTAAGTATGATACTACATTAAAATTTAACTAATTTTTTTTTCGTACCTTTTGTGTTGTGTTTCGTATTATCCTCGTCATGTCATTTGTATTTATAATCTGTGTTCTTTTAATAATACTGTGCCAGTTTAATTGTTCTGGGTCAATATTTCTTTAATATACAGTCCACCTTGGTATTAAAAGATTCGGAATAGGAATGTACAGTACCCCACATGGATCGAATTAACCTGATTACAGATGTACATTTTTTTAACATAATTATACCATTTTGAGAAGAATTATGTATACTACCTTTTCGTTTTAGCCTAGATCAGATATAATTTATATGCATTCAATATAAGTACCCTCTCAGCATTCATCTAAAGAAATGCAATTACAGTAATGCAATTACAGCATCATGTTTCTTTAGTATTTGGACACCAAAATAAGATTACAGCACAGAACTTTTTTTACAGTAGCATTTAACAAGTTATAGCAAAACAGAACAACTTTTTTATCAAGGAACACAATCCACCTGTAGTTATTAGGCTTTACAGAATTTGATGTTCCTCTGCAACTTTCTCAATTCCTAAGAGCTGAAAGTCCCGTTTGCTGTCTCATTACTACCTTTGCACAAATGAAGCTGTTCTTTTAAACTCCGGACGAGCTCGGTAAGCATTTGTATGTTCTTCTCTTGTGATAAGATAATCTGTACATATAAAAAAGAATCTTGAACATTTTTTAGCATGCAACAAAAGTAACCGAACATTCAAGCAGCTATTAGTGTTAAATAGAATGTAAATCATGGGGGGATGTTATGAGATGAAGAGATGAAGGGGATGTTAGAATGAAAGAGAATGATAAGCCCTAAATTAAGAGGGTGCTTGGATATAAAATTTGGTTTCAGTTTTGATTGGATTTTTTTAGTTAAATAGAGTTAATTTTGAGTATGTTTGTAGGATCAAGTTTGAGCGGGATTTTGATTTTGCATTAAAATAATGTTTAAAATAAAATAATTAATGTTGATTTGATGTAAAATTAAGAGAGATGGTGATTGGAGGTGACGAGTAGTTAAAATTATGTGAGTTGATTAATAGTGAATTAAAGTTGATGTGATTTGTGAGGATGATTGATTGATATTATTGAATTATTTTGATAATATTGAGGAGAGTGGAGACGAGTTAAATTTGAGAACACAAACATCCTAATTTAGAATACTCGTTTCAATATCCCACTTCAGGTCAGCCACTTTAGCTCAACTAACCACTCGTTTCAAGTTTCAACATCCTAATTTAGAATACTCGTTTCAATATCCGGAAAAAAAGAATTTCAGAATTAAAATCTACAAAGCTACATGAGAGAAAAAAAAAAGTGCATAGAAAATCAAGAAAAGCTTTACGCAAAAAAATGGTGGCAATTTTTTAACAATAGCTTTAACAATTGTTTACTATAACAGCACACTGCAATCTGCAGTGACATTCAAAACAACATATGCAGACTGAAGTACTAAAAACGCTTGCATGTATACTATCAACATAATGAAAATCAAACAAAATAAAGCTGCTCAAGCAATAGATAAAAAGCTCACACTCATTGTTCCAAAACTTACTTTTATGACACAATCAAATTTACTGACAATTGACAGTAAAAATGCAAATTTACCTTTTCTTTTACAGTTTCTTCTCTTTCCGAAATCTTCTGCCGCTTTTGAGTTTCGCCAGAAGTTGAATCGGCCTCATTCACCAACTGTTGCCTCCATTCGAATTGAGAAGTGATAATCAAAACCAGCAACAGAAAAACAAGCACTGCTGGCCTCGACATTTTTTTCCTATCCCTTTCAATATACCCTTTAAAACAAAAGAGGGTAATACACATAAAATAAAACAACCCATAAATCACACCGTGAAAAGCAGAGGTAAGAATTGTTAGAGGTAACAACTCGAATGACTTCATAATTTTCAACCCCCTTCAATCTACCCTATAACACAAAAGAGGGGAGTAAACAATAAACATAGAACAACCCGTAAATTACACCCCGAAAAAGCATGGCCCAAAATGGAAAGAGGTAACAACTCGAATAACTTCATAGTTTTCACATCATTGAATCGAAAGATTCATATATTGTTTCTTAACAAAATCAAATGTTAGTTAAACCAAAACCCCAGATAAGTTATTACATGAATTTTGCTGACTTTGAGGAAGATAAATTGCCCATTTGTTACTATTACATTTAAGCTGATAATTACCAAATTCCAGAAAATAGATGAACTCCAATCTCAGTTACCNTTCAAATTAGAAAAGGGGCCAACTAAAAATCTCAAATTGAGCTCGAATTTAGACAAGTTGAAACCTACTTGAACAAAATGCATAAATTGCTCATTTTTACTATTACATCTAAGCTGATAATTACCAAATTCCAGAAAATAGACGAACTCCCATCTCACTAACCCAAATCAAACCCTTCAAATCAGAAAAGGGGCCAAATAAAATCTCAAATTGAGCTCGAATTTAGTCAAAACACTTGAAAACCTAACATGAACAAAATGCATATCAAGATAATGAAGTTCCTATTTACTCCCTCGTGAAAGCAGATGCAGAAATTTCAGAATTTGTGGAGATGGAAGTAGAATTAAGACTTACAGATCAGGGCTCAATTTTGACGGCATCTAAAAAGATCCACACAAATGTTGAAAACTGTTCGAGAGGAGCTCTTGCTGTGTCTGGTGATTTGAGTTTTAGGACTTAAAGAGAGGAGATACAAATGCAGACAGTAAAGTGGTTACTTGCTGAAGGCATTTTATTAATTATTAATGATGAAGATTACGGGTTCTATCCTAAATAAGAAAAAATAAATAAATTATATATTTTGGTATGTCATGTGTGTAGTAAATATGTAGGGTGCAATATTTTTTTTAAAAAAATAATGTAGAAAAATTACTTATAAATATACTAATGGATAAGTAATAAAGTTTATAGAGAAACATGTCGCAATAATGAATTTTTGTCAATATATAAGATTAAAGATAGAAAAAACATGAATGAATAACATTTTGTAGTTGAAGATTGATGATCATTCTATACTAGGGTAATTTACGAATAATGTTAGACGAAATACACATTAACATAATGAAAATACACATTACAATACCAACGTATTTTTACATAATGATGAAAATACCACCGCGTAAAAATTAGAGATGTTAAATGGTCCTTGACCCGACAGGCCGGCCCATTTAACCCGGAAAAAAAGAGGGTTAGGTTCTTTTATTAGTAGCCTATTTAAATCAGGGCTTTTTAGGCCCGGACCGTTTAACTCAGAACCCGCTAGGGTTGGCCCGTTTAACTAGGGTTGGACGGTATAAATGTTTGCATCAAGTAAGTAATATGCTCTTAAATTCCTCGTATATTACAATTTTGATATTCCACTTCACATGTAAGTACGAGTTGTAATGGATTATTATGATTTTGAAAGATAATTATTAACAATATTGTTATTGTACTTCATACCAAAATATTTAAGCCAATCAGAACGAATAATAAGAAATACATGAAACATAGTGATAGACGTAAATACTAAATAGTCGTTGAAAATAATTTTTAACTAGTCGTTGTTATTTTTTTTTGTATTTTTTACTCTTTTTATTATTATTATTATTATTATTATTATTATTATTATTATAGCCATAGTCCGCATAGCCCGTTTAGCCCGAAGCCCGCTAGAGTTAGGGTTAGATCCTTTTTTTGGTAGCTCGTCTAAATTCGAGCTTTTTAAGCTCGGACCGTTTAACTCGAAGTCCACTAGGACTAGCCCGAAATCGCTAGGGCTAGCACGTTTAACAACTCTAGTGAAAATCATAAGTATGCAATATTACGAAACGGTCATGCACGTTGGACCAATGTTGGAACATGGAACTATATTAAAGCTTTAAAATATCACGTTCGATGACTATCGTTGATTTTATTTTGTTTCAATATTTTTCATTCTCATTTGTGAAGTATTTTGATATAATACGAGGACAAAAAAGAAAAATATGGGCTTTTAGGATTCAATTTTATTAACATATACTATATGAACTAGAGGTGGCTATTTCCGAGTTGGATGGCCTTGAGCTGGCCCGAACATATGTACAGGCCGCTTCAATGAACCGTTTGTTCCGAGCTCAATAAAAAAAATACAAAATAAATTATAAAATATTATTATTAGTATTTTTAAAAAAGATGAAAATTAAGTATATAACTTATTATTTTATGAAAATCAGATCATATCAAACATCATTAACATTCTTTTTACATTCAAAACTTTTATTCTTACTATTCATAACTATCACTCACAAAATCAATAATATCATGGTCCCTTCCAAAACATAACTCCTATTACAAAAACTAACACAAACATAAGCATTATCATAACATATGGTCTATAATATGATTCCTCTGTTTTTGAAGACTCTGTTTGTTCAGCTTTCATTTCCTCTTGTCTTTGTTCTTGCAACATTTTTGCTATTCCAATAGGTATTTTATGACTTTGTTCGGTTTGTTCAGATTTTGGTCTTTCCCTTCGTAATCTCAGACGACGATGTGCTGTTCCTTGGAAAGCGTAGTTAAATCCCACATCGGGTTTTGATGTGTTTAGTCCTTCGACATTTTCATCAAGCTCAACTATATTATCTTTCATTATATCAAAATAACAATCATCTTCTTCAGCATCACTCTACAGAATAATTTCAATCAAACAATTAAAAGTTTATCAGCATAACAATCATATCCCTCTATAGAATCAAGTCAAATCAATAATTAAAAAGTCAAATAATAAGTCAAATAATTAAGCATGTTATTTTTTTTAAAAAAAATGCAGTAGGGCTGTTAAAGAACCAAACGTTGGCGAATAAAAGTTCGTTTTTTTATTAATCGAGCCAAGTTCAAACAGAAAAATTAGGCTCGTTTAAGAGTCGAACAAATATGTATGATATTTTTAACAGAAAAATCTAAAATATAAAAATAGTAGTATCTTGTTTAATTTTTAATTTCGAGTTGGAATGAACATACCTCAAATTAATAAAAATAATAAATAAAATGTTTGCTTACTGAATTATTCGAACACAAGCAAACTCGAACTTTGACGAACAATTAAAGGAGAACAGAATTTTTCGCTCGAATGAACACGAATAGTGTTTTGACATAATCGAACACGACTCTGAAACTCGACTATTCAGTTCGACTACAACACTACTACGCGTCACCCCAAACCCAAGTATATACAATAAAGAAAATAAAACCCAAAAATAAACAAACTATAAAAGCCAAATGAACTTTACCTTCTTTAAACTTGATAACTCATGATGATGATGAGGGGATTGAGTTGCAATATGTTCTAACTCATTAGCATCAACACCTTCTTTATTATCATCAGATTCATCATCAGTAGCAATTTCCACTTGTTCGACAGAGTAACTGCTACCACCGCTATCCACTAGCTCGTTTTTTTCAGCCGAACGTTCATTATGAGCTCGATTTCTCTTCGTAGTTTCGTGCAAGTGAAAATCTTGATTTTTCCTTATTCGACAAACTACCATGGCATTATCCTATCACGAACATTTTACATTCATAAAATGAAAGTACACAAGTATAATACATGAATCAAAACAAAAAAAACACATATCCATATAAATATATATACCTCGGATTTTTCACTTGTGGAATATTCGTGCATGATCCATTCGGTTCTTTGTCCCTTGGGAGCTCGACCGAGATGAAATACTAGAGTTCTCTTTGTACCGATTATGTATGAACCACATTTGACATTTCTTTCTTTTCCGGTCGCTTTCCAATAGCCACATTGCGTTGCTCGTTTGCTCTGAGAACCATTTGGATACTTTCTTCCTCGAGGTGAAAAAAAGAACCACTCGCTATCTGATTGAATGATCGATTGTGCTGAATTCATTTGAAATGAAATCGTTTTGTTAGTTTCTCATGGAAATTGACTTCTTAAATGAAAATGCGTTTCTTCCTCCCTATATAAGGCTTAGACAAAAATGGCACACAACTAGAGAGTGAAGGCTAGGATCTGAACCGTCAGATCAACTTACACCCCCAGAGAGAGAGTTAAAATAAATCAACTCGGGTAATAATAAATCATTAAAAAACAAAATAAAAAGACAGCAGACAACCTGGCAGATCCCAAGGCTCGTGTTTGCATATATCAACCTCGGGAATAACCTCAACACTCTCGTCCGACCCTTGAAGCTTCTTCTTGAGATAGTACTGAAGCAACTCCTCGTCCGAGGGTGAAAATCGAAATCCCGGAAACTTGGAGGACGCCTCTGCAATCGAAATTTCCATGGACAAGCTTTTGCTCGAACAACAAGTATTAGTACTTCCGATGTTCCTAATTATCTCCCTTACATCATCTTTACTCATTCTTTTATATCTTTTTTAGGAAATTATTATTCTTTTATTAGAGAAAAAAGAAACCCTATTTAGTTTCTTGGTATATTGAGTTTGGTGGGTGAAAGGAAAGGATAGATTCTTATGAGGATATGTATATGTAACAAAAGGTTCTTACATTTTTTGCTTGCCTTTTTCTTCTCATGTCAGTGAGCGTGGGGATCACGTGACTACGTGAGGGGAGGGTGATGATGTGTCCACGTGTCAGTCTGAAAATGGGTTGACCATTGTTTATTCTGCATGCAAGTGACGTGGAGTCTAGCAACGTAAGACTCGTGTTTTCTTTCCGAGAGGATTACATATATTTATTTATTCATTAAAACAAAAAGGAAAAACCATGATGCAATAAGCAAAATTCTAAAAGTTAAGCGGGTGTTTGGATATGAATTCAACTAGTAAAAAATTTGTTAGTTTTTAATTATAGTTAAATTTAAAAAAAAGTAGTATAATTAGTTGTTAATGGATATATTAAAATAATATTTAAAATAAAATAATTAAAGTTGATTTGATGTAAAAGTAGGAGAAAATGATTGGAAGTGATAGTTAGTTAAAATTATGTGAGTAGATGAATAGTGAATTAAAGTTGATGTGATGTGTAAGAATGATTGGTTGATATTATTTAATTATATTGATAATATTGGAGATAGTGAAGTTGAGTTAAAATTGAATTAAATTTGAGTTTTAATTATTTTTTTTAGTAGAATTTGTATACAATTACCCCTAACTGATCCACTTTGTTCAGACCTAGGCCTAGGCCCAGGCCCAGTCTGTTAGAGTGGTCCAACAAAAGTTCACAAACAATGAGTGGTAGTGGTAGCAAATCTATGTAGTAGAAAAAATAAAATTTCAACTTCTGGTGCAATTTAACATGTGCTTTGTTAGTCATGTTTTATTATCTATTTTTTATTTTAAAAATAAATATTATTTATATATATTTATATGATAACTATTTATTATGAGATACAATATTATAACACTTAAATATATAAAAATAATATACAAAACATTTATTATGAGATACAATATTTAGTCTCATTGTTAATTAATATTATATTATTTTATATTAAATTAATTTTAATTATTATATTTTTCGCTAATATCTATTTACAGTCTCAACTCTATCTCATATAAAAATAATTTTTCCATGTTTAAATTTTTAAGGAAATTTTGAATTTCTTTTAATATCCAATCAAGATTTATGTCTTCTTCTTCCACTTTCTTTTAAATTAAACCTCCACAAATGTCTAGAAATTTCCATGTCAAATAATAAACAAATAATAATAATAATAATAATAATAATAATAATAATAATAATAATAATTAATTCACCCCTGATTAACGTGTCAGAATTTCACCTTGCACTGCCTACATCGTCATCTCTTCTCTTCGACACTCAAATTCAGTATCAAAATCAAAGCATCAGAAGAAATTGCCGGCGTAGAAAAGCTCAGAAACATGGCTTTGGTCCCTACCCCAACCGCGAACGACGGACCATTATTCGCCGAGGTTGACATGGGCACCGACGCCTCTGCTCCGACCATCCGCGCCACCGTGGTCCAGGCGGCCACCATCTTCTACGACACCCCCTCCACTCTTGGTAATACTTTCAGTTTTCCCATTTCGGTTCTTCCTAAATTTTGCTCGAGTTTAGCTGATAGTTCCCGTATCGAAATTTGAAGTATTTCTGTTTTTGTTTTTGTTTTTGTTTTCAAGTTTGATTTTTGTCGCGTGGGTTTAGCTCAAATTAGGAAAAATGAAGGAAAAAAGAAAGAAAGCAGCAGCCTTTGGTGAAAGACTTTCTAATTGGAATGAATTGTGAGAAAGGGAAGGTGGATGTTTAGGTTTACACTCTTTCACAATCTCATGTCTGGCTATGGAGAAACTTTTTGGGTTAAATGAATTAACGTTTTGATATATATGTTCCTGAAGATGAATTACATTGCAGTCTTTCATTACTTTCCTATATCTGGTCTTGTCCAAGAATTTCGAATACAACATTTTTCCTCTTATAGCGAGTTTATTGGACATGAATTGCAATATCCAACAAATAATGTTCGATATATCTTGCGATATTTTCATTTCATACGGTGAAAGAATCTTCTGAAGAATTTTGTTAGATTAGAAGTAGTCCAGCTATGGCATTGTGTGTACTCGTTGATGCTTTCTTGATTTTTATATGCCATTTGATTTGCTTGTCATGATTCCTCCTTTTCTTTCACATATACTAGATTTCAGCCTTAATTATACTTGAGCTAAACGTAAAACTTCTGTTTATCTATTATTATTTCAGATAAAGCCGAAAGGCTACTAGCTGAAGCAGCATCTTTTGGTTCTCAGTTGGTTGTTTTCCCTGAAGCTTTTATCGGTGGTTATCCACGTGGTTCCACATTTGGTGTTTCTATCGGAAACCGAACAACTAAGGGTAAAGAAGAATTCCGTAAATATCATGCTTCTGCCATTGATGTTCCTGGTACGAGCTCTATATCATGTCCAGTCAGCAAGAAAGTTTGTTCGGATATTTCTTGTATTTGTGTCGGTTAAGTTTCACGGTTACATTGGAGTGACTTGATTAGTCTTATTTGGTCGTTTCTTCATTTGGGATGTGCTTTGATTGCTTTACCCATTATACTTCTAATTTTTATTGAGAATATATTCCAACCCTTGATTCGAGTACTGTGGATAAGTTCTTAAGCATGAATACGCAATGATTAAATTGTAAATTTCCTGTTTATACGCATTCATAAAGTTTTCCATATTATTTTGCTTGCCTCTCATATGGAGCTTTACTATATTTATACATTCTGTAGTTATTTTTTTCTAATGGCATTCTTCAGGGCCCGAAGTTGATCGCTTGGCTGCTATGGCTGGAAAGTATAAGGTTTATTTAGTGATGGGCGTTATAGAAAGAGATGGATACACCTTATATTGTACAGTTTTATTTTTTGATTCTCAAGGTCATTATCTTGGAAAGCATAGGAAAGTCATGCCAACAGCACTCGAGCGTATAATTTGGGGATTTGGAGATGGTTCGACAATTCCAGTTTTCGAGACTTCTATAGGGAAAATCGGTGCTGCAATTTGTTGGGAAAACAGAATGCCACTTTTAAGGACAGCAATGTATGCTAAAGGTTGGTTTGTTTTTTAACACTCATTTTATGTGTAATTAATCCTTGAAAAAGTGCAATAAATGAGTATGGTTGCGTTTGTAGATTCAAATTTGTCAAAAATATGAGTGGACAAGGTTCTTACGAATTTTACTTTCATTTCTTTGAGAGATTTGTATGAACACAATGCGATAGAAAAACGAAAATGAATTTTGGGAGTGATTGGTAGTGAGATGAAAATGTAATAACTAATAATGCTAGTTGTAAGTAAGTTGATTGATATCAAAATAGTAATATAGTCCTTCTAAATGATTTAATAGTTAGAAATACGTGTATGAAAGCTGAAGTTCGTAGGGAAATCTATATCAATAAATATTTTCCCACTATTTGATGTTATTGGTAAGAGAAAAAAGAAATTGTGAAATGGAGTGAAAAATAAAAACATCTTGCCTCCAGTCGAATCCAGCTCCCCCTTGCTCTTAGTTTCTGATTTGATTATGAATGAGAACATAATCATTAAACAGTGTTTAAAGCACAAGAAACTAATTTTGTTTTAGGCAAAATTGCATTTTTAGTCCTACTATTTAACGCTATAGCAATTTTAGTCCTAAGGTTGCATGGTCCTGTGATTTGATATTTTGGTGAAGGACTGGAATTGCAACAAATTTTCATATTCTCAGATTTTCGATTAGCAATTTAAGTCCTGTAATGTAAAATTTTGTTGCAAATTCAGTCTTGTAATTTAAAATTTTGTTGCAATTTCACTCTCAAATGACTGAAATTGCAGCAAAATATTAAATCACAGGACCAAAAGGCGAAAAGTTAGAATCTTGAGACTAAAACTTTTATGACGTTAAATCAACAAGACTATAAATGTATTTTTGCCTTTGTTTTACTTCCTTTCAGTGTTGTGCAAAATGAACAGTGTACTCATCTACACTTTTTGTGCCCTTTATTTTTTCTTTTCTTTTTTTTTTTTCAGGTGTTGAAATATATTGTGCCCCAACAGCTGATTCGAGAGACGTGTGGCAAGCATCAATGACCCACATTGCCCTTGAAGGCGGCTGTTTTGTATTATCGGCCAATCAGTTTTGCCGGAGGAAAGATTATCCTCCGCCACCGGATTATGTATTTTCAGGCACGGAAGAAGAACTTCTGCCGGAATCTGTTGTTTGCTCGGGTGGCAGTGTGATAATATCCCCCTCAGGAGNAAAAAAAAAAAAAAAGTAACTTTGAGTCATCCTCAAATCTTATAAGCTTTCTGTATTCAAATAAGTATCGTTTCGTAGGACGAACATTTTTTAAAAAGCCTGAATTTATCTCATAAGTTTCTTTGGGTAGCTTTTCAAATAAAGCTCGTTGAAATTTTTTTTCAGCTAGCTAGCTTATCAGCTAATTTTACCATACATTTTTATCTTTATCGTATAAGCTAGATTTCAGCTATAAATCATAAGTTGTAAGCTCGAGAATCACTTATAAGCTATCATTTTACCAAACACAGCATTAGTATTTATCAAGTTTGATGATTTTCCCTAAAATTATAACAAGTGCTTTTGGTCTTTCTTCAATTTATTTCTAGCTAACTTCCAACGTTGCAGATTTTCCCACTAATCGTGTCGAATTGTGCTAAAAAATGATAAATGGTTTCTCGAGAATTATTTACGGTTTGCTAATCAGTTTATCTACAGTTTGCTAATCAATTTATCTCATGCACAGATTTGGGGGAAATTGTACGAGCCAAATTCGACTTTGACGTTGTGGGCCATTATTCTCGACCCGAAGTACTCAGTCTTCTTGTAAAAGACCATCCAATGAGCCCGGTTTCTTTCTCTTCATCACTAACTGGAAAAGCAGAAAGCTCACAAAAGTGATCTCGAGTCTCACTTAACAGATAAGTTACATTCGCAGTTTCTGCAAAAAAAGTAAAATGCATTTTGACTTTCCTAAATATCGTGCAACGAAAAATGCACGTTAACTTTCCTAGATTTGTCATGTCTAATCCACCTCGTGCATTTCTAATTCGTTGATAATCGTCATTTCATAAAGCTTTTTTTTTTTTTTTTTTCTTTTNCGATAAATTATCGGATGCTTCTTCTCTTCGGGTTTGGTGCATACAAACAAACAACACCTATAAAATGCTTTGTGCGTGGGATCTGAATATTTTTGTGGCAAACTACGGTGTTTGTAAGTGACTCTAATTCAATGTACCAAGTTGTGATAAATGAAGTGACCTTTAATGTACTCAAGAGTTGGTGATTTATATTATATTTCAAATGAAAATTGGGCTTGTAAGTATATGTGCTTTTTTTTTTCTTTTAATCTTAATATGGGATATTGTAATAATAATAATAATGATACTTGGAAAATGACGCATCCACATGTGACAATTATTGTTTGATTGAATATATAAACCCAATGTATGCCCATCATATTACGGTGAAGTAGATGAAATGGAATGATGAGTGCCATANCTAATTTTAATTTTAAATTTCATTAATTTTAATTTAATAGTTGATTTCCGCGTGCTTGTCCTTGAGAGTTAAGGTTGCAATATTTTTTTCCCCTTTAGTTTGTCCAGTTAAAATTTATCTCATTCAACGTGTCAATGAAGCAAAAGAATATACAACCAATAATATTCATTTCATCTCATTTTCCCTCTATAATTTCACACACACATTTAAAATACAAAAAAGTAGTCATTATTACATATTTTTCAATAAAAAATAATCTTCATCATCTATTCACATTTTTTTTAACAACTCATCTTACAACTTAATATTTTTTTATTATGTTTATATCAGATCAACATTAAATATATTTTTATTTCATATTCATTCACTATTTCAAATGTTATCTCATAATTTTTTGGATCTTGCTTTTTCCCAACAGACACATTTTTTTTGAATCGTTAAAATATAAAAAAATGGGAACATACATAACCATTTCTTGAAGATAAACTTTATGATGTAGATGAGAGTGCATTGGCATTTCTTGACAAACATGATCGGCTCCGATCTTTAGTGTAACATTATCATATTTATTTTAGTATTTGTGTTTGTATTTATTTATGTGTATTGGGCTTATTGTGTTTGGACTTTTATTTATGTTGTGTTAGGTTTTTAAGTATTTGGGCTTTTATTATAGGTGATTAGTATTAATATGTATGTGTGATTGGTGAACATCAGTTTTTTATCAGATTGGAATGAAGAAATAAACTGTTCTGTGTTATGTGTTCTTGAAGAACTTCCCCATCATATGCTATCCACTGCATCATTTGGTATCAGATTTGGGATGGTTCTCGATGCCATCGAAACGATAAGATGCCGAAATTGACGATCGTCTCCAACGAATGGACGATCGAATGCAATTGTTCGACACTCGGGTGACGGATCTTGCAACTGGAATTGACGATATTCGTGTTACCCTTGCTGATATGGTGCGCAATCGTGATGTTGCCGGTGGTCGCGGTGGTCGCGGGGTTCCACGAGGTGGTCGTGGGGGTCGAGGGTTCGGCGGGGCGCCCCGTCAATCGGTCCCACAGAATCAGTTCGGCGATGAGGACAGCGATGGCACTTGGTCCGACGTTAACCCTTTTGTCGACGGGTTTGACGGCCAGAGAGACTTCGACGACCACAACCAACGGGATGATGATGACAGTTTTCCAATTCCTGATTTTCCTCATCGTCGTGCACAGGAGGCCGTTCGAGGACAGGAGATCCCCGCCTTCAATCGTGCAGACCGTCACAAAGAGGAAAACCTAGTTCCCGATTTTCAGCCCCATGGTGAGCGCGAATTCCGTCGAGCGGCTGTAGGAGGCGACGCTCGCAAACCGTAACAGAGGCCCGTCGGAGTCCGTTTGCCTAGGTCTCCTCCTCCCCGTGCAGCAGATGGTTTTCCGGTTCCGATTTTTCATGGCCATCCACCGGTGGCGGCGCGACGAGCTACAGTGAATCGCGCTGATCGGCACCATATCAGCGGCGAGATCCTCCGTGATGCAGGCGCCGATTTCCAGCGCGGTGGAGAGCGCTACAAGGTCGCTGGAGATGTCCGCGGCTGGCAGCACCAGGGTCGCCGGAGACCTGCTATTGTTGAGGAAACGGGCCGACGCCGATTTGTGCAGAGCTTATGGGCCAGCGGGTGCTTTTGGTGGGCCTGGGCATGAGGCCCATTTTCGCAGGTATGGAGTTGAAGGGGATTCCAATAGTCGTTGGGAATCTTCTTTTCACGTTGAAATTCCGGATTTTGCCGGTGGGTTGGATGCTAGTGAATTTCTTGATTGGTTAGCTTCCGTCGAGGCTGCCCTTGATTTTAAATGCGTACCGGACGAGAGGCGAGTCGCACTTGTGGTCACTCGACTTAGGGGACGTGCGGCCGCTTGGTGGTTACAATTACAGGGCGTGCGACATCGCCAGGGCAAACCGAAAATCACATCATGGTTGAAATTTCGTAAGTATCTTGAACGGGAATTTTTGCCGTTTAATTTTGTCCGTACATTATATCAGCGTTTACAAAATCTTCGACAAGGACAACGTAGTGTGGATGATTATACTGAGGAATTTTATAAACTTCTTGCCCGGGTTGATATTCGTGAAACTCAGGAACAGTTGATTTCTCGTTATATTGGGGGATTGCGTGTCTCTATTCAGGATATGTTGAATATGTTTACTCCCGCTTCTGTTTCTGAGTCTCATCAGCGGGCTTTATTGGTTGAGCACCAGTGCCGGGTCAGTGGGCCGTGTTGCTTTACATGTGGTGAGCCGGGTCATCGTCAGGCACAGTGCCGGAAGGCGAGAGGGTCACGAACATTGATGGTTGAGGAGCCAGACTCGACTGTTTACACGATGACCAGTCTGTCGATGAGAGTCGTGCAGATTCGAGGGCGAATCCTCTCCAACCGGGGGAGAATGATGTCGATGAGAGTGCATTGGCATTTCTCGACAAACATGATCGGCTCCGATCTTTAGTGTGATATTATTATATTTATTTTAGTATGTGTGTTTGTATTTATTTATGTGTATTGGGCTTATTGTGTTTGGACCTTTATTTATGTTGTGTTGGGTTTTTAAGTATTTGGGCTTTTATTATAGGTGGTTAGTATTAATATGTATGTGTGACTGATAAACATCAATTTTTTATCAGATTGGAATGAAGAAATAAACTGTTCTGTGTTATGTGTTCTTGAAGAACTTCCCCATCATATGCTATTTACTGCATCACTTTAATTAGTTGAAAAATATTTATACCAAAATGGAAATCATCGATACGCATCTTGAATTCCATCGTTATGAATATACATACCTGAGATTGATTGCATACAGTCGTGCCAAAATGAATTTCGACCTGAATATATATACCTGAGATTGATTGCATACAGTCATGCCAAAATGCATTTCGACCTTGTTAGCTGTATTTTGGATCATAGTAAAAAATTCTCAAATTCACATTAAATATAACCCTTCGAAATCTTTCATTCGAAGTCCAAAATAACACTTGCAATCATTTTCACACTCGTTAACATGTACAGACACACGCATATATATATGATACTTTATTAAAAATGAGATTGGACCCGCCAAAATTAATGCATGTACCAGATTAACAGAACATTACATCACTGGATTTTTCTGTTTTTAGATATCAAGTTATCAACACCCATTTGCAAACCCATAATTCTCAAATTTAGTTGTAATATGCAAAAAATTCCAATTGTTTCCTTATAATTATAAATGCAACTCCCCATCTGTCTGTTTTTCTTCTTTTGTGAGAGTTTGAGATTGTTCATATTGTATCTATACATTTTAATTTTATAGATTTTAAATGTTGGATTATTGGTAAGTAAATTGCATAATTGAATTATATAATCTTATATTTNATTTTAATACTATATAGGCATAATAATAAAAGAACAAACATTTGAATTTCAATGCTATATAATTAATAGGCATAACTAGATATTGTAACAATTTCCATGATTGCTTTGCTGTAGCATCATCATAATTTATACAATTTGAACTTCTTAAGTAAAACTATAAGACAAAACAAAATTCTGTTTACGCTCTAAACTTAAAATATATGATAAGCCATCAATATAGTTCCTCTTCATGCAAGCTTAATAAAATAAATTAAAAAGAATAAAAAAAATGTTAGCCATGGCATATAACCCTATTTTGATCCTTTGAGCAAACAACCCCCTCTCGACCCAACTCGTTCTGACTCGGACTCACCGTGTTTTGAGTCGAACTCATCTTAGAACCCGAAACAATATGGTCCCTTAGATCCTTAATCATGTTGTACCTCTCGATCTCATCCAAATCCTCTCCATTTCCTCTCGAGCTCGAAAATTCCCATTCTCTAACCGGTTTTCTAATTTTTCTACTCCTTCGATTTCTCACGGCATCGCCCCATTTAAAATTCTTGCTCACATCATCAACATTTAGCTCGATCGAGTGAAGATCACTATCATCATCACCATCACTATCATCATCATCTTCTTCATCTTCATCATCATCATTCTTGGATTTATTTACTATTTTAACCTCATCTTTCCCTTTATCTTCGTATTTGTACGTGCACGGCAAAGTCTCGTGTAAATATTTCTGCAGCTCGCGAATTTTATCATAGCTTGGGGACCCGCAGCCCGTTTCTCTCTCCTCTTCGCCTTTTTTCGACTTCAAATACGATTCGAGCTCGTGCCTCAACTCGTCAACTATCGCGTTTTTCTCCTCGAATTGATACTTAGCCTCCAAGAGCTTCATCTGAACTCTTTCCTCGCGCAAACTATCCGCCACTTGAAGCATTTCCCGCTCTTTTTCAATTTCTTCGCAAACTTTTGCTGATTGCCTCTTTATTTCCTCGACTTCCGCCTTGTCCTCACCTACGCCGCGTGCCAGCTCATCACACACCTGCTCGAGTATCTCGCGGGCCCGTTTTTCGCACCCGAGGTCCTTTTCCGCTTTAGAGAGCAACTCTTTGGTTTCGAACAATTCTTTCCCGAGTTTCTTGTTGAGTCTTTCGGTTTGTTGTCTCAGCTTCTTTTCTTTTTCGAGCTCGATTTTTGCGGAAGAAATCGCGTGACGGATTTTGTCGTGATGTCTCGATTTCAAGAGGGCTTTTTCTTCTTGAAAGTGTTTGAATAGGGTTTCGATTTCGGTTTTTCGGTTTTGGTTTTGTTCCTGGATTAATTTGGCGACGTGGGCGCAGGCTCGATCGAGCTCGAATTTGAGGGCCGAGAAAAGGGAAATGCTTGTTGTGTCGTGACTTGAAATCCGAGCCATCACTTTGAGTAATTCTTTGGAGGTCACGAGGCCATTATAGACATCCTTGAGATGGTTCTTTGACCCTTTAGATGGGCTTCGAGCCGGATTCTGTGCATGATCGATCTGCATTTTTAGTGTTTGAAATTTGAAATTTGAAGTTAAAAATGTGATCTTTGGTTCGAAAAACGAACGAGAAAACAGGGGAATTTAACCGTTTTTTTCTTGAAATTGATCTTGAACTGAAAGAATTGAAGAAGTTCTAGTTTTATGACATGTTCTTTGATGGTTGCATATAAGAAAACAAGCCATGTTCTTTGCTCCATCCTATTAACAGAGCATTTTTGTCCATTTCTTAACAAGAGTAGCTCCAAAAGCAATAATAGCAAATGCAAATGAATAAAAAGAAAATATATATCTTTAGGAAAAGGACAATAAAACCGTTCAATGAACTAGATCCCTCAATAGTAAAAAAATAGAATTAGGAAAAAAAAAAAAAACTATTAAATAGCTTCTCCTATCAATAAAAAGGAAAAAATAAATAAAGAATAGAATGAGATCTCGGTCAAAACTCGGCTGTTTTTGCAATATGGGACTTCGATAGGTTTTCTTTTAGGTAGCCTAATGGTTAGAAAGTTGTATACTTCTAACATATACACATACTTCCAAATTCAATATGGCTTCCTAACGGTTAGTCAGCCTAACATCAGCATTTGTGATGTGTGCTCTCATATCTCAAATTAACCAGAAAACAATTTTCCACCATAAAAATCATACAATTAAATGCTCAAACCATCTGAAGAAAGCTCATTTTAACAGAATAATCAGTGTACTTAAAAACAATTAATTATTCACAAATGATACCTCCACCAAGCAATCATGGATAGACTTGCCACTGCCCAAATCACAATCAGTATGCACAGTTTTCTGAGAACTTGCTGATGATGTTCCTCTTCTATGGCTGCCTGCTTTTGATAAATCCATCATCTGCAAATTTCCAAAATAAAAAAAAAATGTTAAAGGCAAAAAAAAAAACAATTAAAATTACAATCTGCATAAAGAATTCTAACACCCTCTTGATCAAAATTATAAAGAAAAAATCATTTTATTCACAACTAAATTGCAATCCCACCTCAGAAACATGACTACTTGATAGATCAGACAAAACAAGAGCCTTTGATCCCAATTTAGAACACTCAAAATCCTTATATTTTCTAAAAATTCCTACTTCACTCAAACCATCAATCTCCCAAAGAGCGGCGGCCAGTTTCCTGGCCGAGACCGTTGATGATCCCTTAGCAATTTGGCCGTTATTCGCCGCCATTGAATGCTCGACTGGCACATCATTTTCCGTTGAAGGTAATTTCGAGCCCATCGTTTTCCATCTTGGCACTGGCGTGCTTGATCCCGCCTTTTTCCCCACCAAAAAAGCTCGTTTTAATCGACAGCTTTGATGTAATGCCGAGGAAGATGATGATGAGGAAACCCTTTTCCTCACTCTGCTTTTTCTTGCTCCAATTTTTCCATCCGAATTTGGAATATTCCTTGGCATTTCTCAAATAATTAAACCCTTCTCTTTTTTTGGTAACAGTAATTCTAATGTTGTTCAAAGTATTCCAAGAATCACTCGCGGAGCAATAATGTGTATTGAATGCCAAAATGGAAACTCAGAACATATCAAATCCCATTAATTACATCGAAATAAAAAGAACCCATGAAAATTCAACAGATCTAAAGACAAAAAAACTACACAAACAGCTGTTTAAACTTCAAAGATTGCTCCTTTTTTCGAAAAAACCAAAACAAAAAAAATCAGTCAAAAAAGAAGGGGCTTTCAGAAAAGAGAGACACCGGGCGAGAATTTGAACGTACCCTATTATTAATGTGGAGGTGTCTTTCTGACATTGACGGGCATACAAATTAGAGCCAATAAAAAGTTGAGGGCTCTGATTTTCAGAGTTGCAGAGAGGGAAAAAGGGTAAAGAGAGAGAAGAAAAAAGAGGGGAAGAATCATGTGAAGGGTTAGTTGCGAGGTGAGGCAAACTGTTCTAAGGCTTCATCTTCAAGTGTAAAGTAATGGCGATGCCGATGTGTGTGTGTGTGAGAGAGAGAGAGAGAGAGGAGTTTTCAAGGAGTGAATCTGCTAATCTTTTTCATAGAAAAAGAGAGTTTTGAAAAAGATAATTTGAGAGAGAGAACAGTTGAGGTCTGTGATATAAAAGAGAAGAGATGACATGGCACACACGTGGGCGCCGACCTGTTTTGAAATGTTGTGTACAGTAGGCACCGCCATATATATATGTAAAAAAAACTAATAGAATTAAATACAACAATTTGTAATATAGAAGTGTGAATTAAAAATTATATATACGACCCGTATAAAACATACATAATTGATGAAATGCATAATTTTGATAAATGTCAATGTAGGTCGAAATTAAATTATTATAAAATATAAAAAAAATGTTCGTGTTTAAGTAGAAATCGTTAGAAGATAGGAATATTCTTTTATGGATCATTAGCTGAAATAAGTCCAATGATTTTCTATGGTAAATGTAATCATTTAAATATTCCAGAATAAGATGGTCACACTTCGTAATAAAAGAATTAAATTAGATGATAATACTGTAAATTGGGATGTTACTAATTATTTGAATTGGGTTATATAAGATTCCTTTTATATGGTTATCCTTTACTTATTTGGGATTGTGATATAGTGACGCGTGAAATATAAAATCACATTACTCATTAATAATTTTTGCACATTTGTTCACACGGTAGGCTGACTAATAATTAAGTGAAATAAAAAATCACATTACTCATTACTTTTATACCTTTGTCATATTTAAGAAAATAATAAAAAAATATGATATTTAATCATATAAATATGTATTTTTTATAATAAAGTACGAACATTTAAAACTAGGCAGCATTAAAATTTTTAGTTGTTCACGACATTTATTCCTATAAAATAATGTCTACTTTTAGTATTTTATTAGCAAACAATTGTCCAAACAAAATTTACCTGCTTCTAATGTGGGTCAACCTATTTCTTTTTAAGGAAGTTATGCTCGTTAAAAGGAACTTATTTATTAATTAAATGATTATTATATATTTATTCCAAGAATTAACAATGTCTTCAGCATAATTTTTTTTTTTTATTTCAAAGTAAATTTACCACATGGCAGCACGTCTTGGTACATCCTGAAGATCTCCCAACAATAATTTCATTGACACTAAAACTAATACCTCCCATACATATTAATGTTAGTCAAACTAATCGATTCATTATATTTATTTACAAGTATACATATACTTAACATATATATTTTATTTGTTTGTGTTATTTTTTCTATTTAAATATGACATAATCTATATTAACAAAATATTGATAGCTAACAATAGTACTAATTCCTACAAACATCTCATAAATTGTTAGGAAGATCTTGTGGTTTTAAATTTAATCTAGTATTTCAAGTACATACATTTTAAATTACATATAAAAAAAAATGTTAGGGATAAAGAAAAAAAGGGTAAATACGGCCAAGAAAATTAATATGAGTGGTATTTTTCTTAGTTATTATGTGGCAATAAATTCCTGAAGAGCTATCACATAAATTCACTTGCACCTAAAATATATATAGAACATAATTTTTTGTACGATACAACACCGGACTATTAAGACCAATAATACATTCTTAATAAAACTAAATACTTATATTATAAAATATTTATTTTTGTTGTATTTTAACGTATGGTGTTCCAACTTCCAACCTATTTGGTAGACATTCATGCAGTTGGACGGCCATTGATCCATCCTTGTGCCAGTGAATAATAATTTACATTATAAGTCATCAATTTTTCCGTGCAATATTTTTCAAGCAACATTACAACGACTAGAAAATAGGACCAATCGGGTACACATTATATAAATTATTGTCCGTAAGGTAAACGAAAAAAAAAAAAAAAAAGATCTGGTATGAAATAATGTGATGATATATAATAGTTGCAAAATTTGACTTATTTGCATTTACATTTGCTTGGCCGTTATATATTCATGTTCAATCAAAAGGTAATCGACTGAATTTGCAAGCAAGCCCCTATAGTATATGGAAGTATCATTCTTGTGTTTTTTAAGTTGTAATATATATATTTTCCATCCACCTCGAAGTTTGCAATTTATTCCAAACATATTACATGCAATTGCAATATAGATTTCATAACAAACCAGTTTGAATGGCTCTAGCTACAATGTAAACTAAACGAGTCGAGCTATTGATATTCAAGTTCAACCTTTTTATTGAGGAGTCGAGTCGAGCTCGAAAACAAGCAGATAGACGAGCTTGAACTCAAATCTGACTCGTTTATTAATATTAACGAGTTGAATTATTGTCAATTGCATAAAAATTCATATTTTGAACAATAACAAGTAGACTCGAGCTCAGAAGTGACTCGTTTCATATAATAGCTCTAGCTTCGAGTATGGAGAATAAGGATTTCTGCGTGAATCTCAACCTTACCATTTATATATGTACGTAGTTGAAATATATACATATACTTAAATTAGCTTATAAGTTTCTTGAGTTCCTATAAGTTTGATAGAATTAGAAAAACTCGAGCTTTCACATTTTTTTCGTGTTACATTTAAACAATTAAAATTATTAAAAATTTTGTTTCAAATGTTTAATAATTTAATTATTTAATTATATCAAACACTTTTATTATATCAACTGATTTTTTTCAATTATTATATATCAGCTACATCTCAAAATTAATTAATTAATTTATCGGTTGTGAGTAATTTCGGCTAATTCAATCAATTTATGTTCTTCAACTTTTCAGCTAGATTGATGAACAAATACAAATATTTGTTAACATGTGCTTGTGGTGAAGTGAATTTAACTACGTGTTTCAGAACTTCAATTGCTAATCACTAGTTTGTTAAATTAAATGAGTTTGATTCGACTCGGCTCGTTAAGGCTCGAGTTCTGTTTGTGTTCGAGGCTTTAACGAGCCAAGCTCGAGCTCATTTAAAGCTCGTTTGGTAAACAAGTCATGTTTGTCTTGGCTCAATAAAACTCGAAAATAGATTTTTTATATAATTTTTTATAGTTTGGCTTGTTAAAGCTCGATAAGAGCTCGTTAAGACTTGAACTCGACTCGTTATAATGATAAACGAGTTGAATTTGAGCTCAATTTTTGACTCATTTATTTAACAAAACTCGGCACGTTAATGGCTAGAGTTTGAGCTCATGCTTAGCTCGGCTCTTTTACAAGCCTAATAACCACTCAAACAAGTCTCACCATTGCTATCAAGTGTATTATTTTCACTTGATTAAATCAAACTAACCTAATATTGCATATTACTTTTGAATTTAAGATTTTGTCGGCCTAGATAAATTAGTTTACTTCCTAGCCAACCTCAAAGTCAAATGTTACTTGGTAATATTTCCCAATCAAGAAATTCAAGCTTGATGGAACTTTTTTCTTAGTTATGGTACGGTTTTAGGCATCGGTTTCATCAAATATTGACATATGGATATTTCAGTTATTTTTTCTAGGACCACACAAGAAAATAAAAATAAAAATATTTCTTCAATGCCCAATACCCAAAAAGAATTAAAAACAGCTATGCACATCACCAAGTCATCCACTTCCCAGAATAAATTTAAAAAAAATACATTTTATTTTCATAAGTTTCCACTAAAAAAATGGGTAAAAAGTTGGGATATATTTAGCTATTTTCACAGGATATCATTTAAGCCATTCAGTACTTGATTTCATTTATATGACAGGTAAGTAAAATTGGATCCAAAACAATGTAGATGTTTTGAGATTAAACGTTGTATAATGTATTTGTGGTAATATGGGTAATGCATAGTTGCATCAACAATACAAAATGAAATTAAAAAAAAAAAAAAATGAAACAAAATAAACTGAAGTTTGGGGGGCCTGTTATAACGGCTACGAAATATAGCCACTTATTTTGAATGATTTTGAACTTTTTTTGATTTGGGAATTAGAAATTTCCATAATACTCCTACATAACTGATAATACTATAGGATAGGGCCCATTATTGATATTATGCAGTCTAAATATTGGCAGTATCCCCGTTATATATAATTTCAAAACGCGATAAGTCAAAGTGACAGTTTTACATGCTTTGTAATCTTATGTGGAAAAATACCATGTCCTGTAATATGACTTAAACAAAAATTATTAATTTTTTTTATACCAAAAGGCAAAAAGTTTAGGTTCGTATTGTCATATATATACACATATTTAATACTATTCCATATTAAAAAAATTATCTTCTGTCTATAATGTGCATATAATCTTACTTTCCAATTTTGTGCTTTGTCCATATATTATTCTCTTATGTGTCTTAAATTAAAATATTATAAAATAAATTAATAATGTATATAAGTTAGTTTTCATAAGTTAAAATAGTGTTATTAATTTATTTAGTGGATCTTTATTATGAATTGTTATATATTGTTCTTTATTTATTTTTTTCAACTTCAACAAAATATATAAATTTTTTTTCATTTTTTTTCGTTGTATATTTAATTATTTTATCAATCACCCGTGTAATACACGTGTATTGATCTAGTTATTTAAATAAATATAAATAATTTCATAAACAATCGGCATACATTTTAAAAACTAACATGAATATAGTATGAATATATTCACATAACTGAATGTATTTTTTATTTTTCAAAATGATGGGTCGATAATTTTTAAAATGATGGGTCGATACGCGTAGTTGTTACATTTCATCACACAAGTAATTGTGTTACAAATTTTATTTTATTTTATTTTTTTTAAAAAAAAAAAGGGAAACCCACTTCGACCAGCATCCATTTACCATTACATTTTTTTAGAAGCATTTTTATTATGTATTACATCTCATATATGAAAAAGTAGATCCACGTTGGGAAAATATTAAAATTGGTCTTATAATTTGGCCATTATCCAAAAAACCACCTCAATATTGATCATTTTTAATTTAGGTCCTATAATTTGTCGATTTCATCAATTTTGATCATTTTTTATCCACACCCTGGATTAAAAGGTGACGTGGCATGAAAAAAATGACCAAAATTTA